TTTGGTGACGATGATAGCAGAAATCGTGGATTCAACTGTTTTCTATTTATGAAACAGTATCTCTTTACCTTTACATTTCTCTCCTTTATAACCCTCTTCACAGATGCACTTAAAACTGTCTTGAGTCTCAACACATTTAGCATGGATGGAGCAAGGGTTGGGCTTGCAAAAATTCTGTTCTGTTGAATTAACAAACGCATCATTACACAAAACAACCAACATTTTGACAAAAGACGTGCATGTTTCAAAGAGTTTTGATGGAGAAATTTTGTTTGACATGTGAGCTACGATGAAAGGAAAATTGTGACCGAAAAAAAAAAGGAAAATCATTATTTGGTCGATTTACCCAAGTAAATAAATGTAATTATTATTCATTCAAAATATTTCCCCGATTCTGATTGGCTAAAAGCACACGTTTAATTCACCATAACCAGTTACTGATGACCAAATGTGGAAGAATTTTGACTTTAACGAGGAAATGACGTCAAAAATGCAGCGTTTTCGCAGGTTAAGGCATCGTTAACCGAGAAGACCTGGGGACGAGGTTACATACATACATACATACATACTTTATTGACTTTCCCAAGGGGCTTTTCAAAGACAATACATGATCCTATTTACAATTAAGAAATGTTTTAAAATATATATAAAATTACAATTCTTTAAGTAATTTAGTACGTAAACGAGTTTTAAAAACATCAATCGAGTTACACAGTTTAAAGGAATTGTCTAGGGAGTTCCATAAGTTCACAGTTCTATAGAAAAATGTTCTCTGACCGGCAGCTGTTCTAAAAAAGGGAATTTGTAAAAGCTGTGAATTTCTGGTGCTACGTCGGCTAACCTCTGCTCGCTTTATGAATTTTGATGTAAGGTATTCAGGGGCTTGACCGGTCATACATTTAAAAGCCATTGTAGCGTTCCGGTAATAAAGCTGACTGGGAACTGAAAGCCAATTTAGCTCCTTGCGAATTGGTGTAACATGGTCAAATTTACGCGCGCCGCTAACAATGCGGCATGCGAAGTTCTGCACTGCCTGTAACTTGTTGACATTACATTTTGAGGTATTTGACCAAACATTGGAGCAATAAAATAACCTGCTAAAAACTAAGGAATTAATAATCATCAAAAGTGTACGTTTGTCGAAGACATGCTTGACACGGTTTATCTGGCCAAGGCGGGACATGCACGAGGAAGCGGTTTTAATTATATGTTCATCGTAAGTTAAATTAGAATCCAAAGTCACACCAAGGTCTTTGGCGGTGTCTGTAGGGACAATGTCCTTACCCATAAAGGAAAGGTAACGAAATTGGAATTTTGCACGCATCTGCCTGCTGCCAAATATCATCAACTTGGTTTTGCCAGGGTTTAGTAACAATTGATTGTTGGAACACCATTCCCCTATTTTAAACAGGTCGTCTTCCAAATCAGCAATTGCATCCAGGTTGGCTTTAAGCTCGAAGGAAGTAATGAGTTTCGTATCATCTACATAACTCTGGGTGCTGCATTTCTGTGGGATCAATGGAAGATCGTTCGTATATATGCTAAAAAGAAGTGGGCCCAAGATGCTTCCTTGAGGAACGCCACTGGTCACAGACAAAGGCTCAGATAGCGTTGAATAGATTCGTACTACTTGTGACCTGTTGCTTAGGTAACTACGAAACCATTGGAGAGTGTCACTGGAAATTCCGACATCTTGCAATTTTAAAATTAACGTGTCATGATTGACACTATCAAAGGCTTTGCTCATATCTAATAGTACAACTGCCGTTAACTTCTTTTTATCGATGGCGTTAAGAATTGTGTCTGTTGTTTCAATGACAGATGTTTCACAAGAGTGCCATCTCTTGTTACCGCTTTGACTCTTTGATAGGGTGTCATTTGATTGCAGATACGAGGTGAGTTGATTATGTACTACCCTTTCGCAAACCTTCGATAAAACTGGTAGAAGTGAGATGGGTCTATTGTTGTTTGCCTGTTCATGGTCGCCCTCCTTTAGGATGGGTGTAACCTCGGCTGTTTTCCATTTTGATGGAAAAACACAGTTTTGAAAGGATGCATTAACGATAGACGTTATTGGGTGAACAATTGGATTAAGACAGTCTTTGATGACACGGATCGGAATTTTATCTATCCCGGGGGCCTTGTTTGAAGGCATCGCTGCTATTATACGCTCTACTTGTTTATAATCAACGGTACTAAGTGTGAACTGGTCAGAGGAAGCGTATTGTCTCGGCACGAAATAATTCTGATTAAGTGTTAAGTTGCATTCATTAGCCAGGGACGTAATTTTGTCAACAGTGCTCTGACCAACAGATACGAAGAACTGGTTAAATTCGTCTGCAACAGATTTGACGCTCTTACTAAATGTTCGCTGAGATGTAGATTTATTGGGGACACACTGGCGGATTGCTTTCCAGATATTATTGGTGTTATTTGGGTTCCTTTGGATTTGTTCAGCAACAAATTCTCGTTCAGCAATTCTAATTTCCCTCTTTACTTCCTGTCTGAAATATCTGTAGGCAGTCCAGGATAGCGGGTCATTTGTTTTCTTTGCTTTTTTACGCCAATCATCCCTGGTCTTCATCAATCCGCGGATGTTGTCGGTTACGCATGGGTTTGGCTTACAGCGTGCTTTAAAGGTTTTAACTGGAGCATGACGGTCGAGTATCTCAGTAAACAGCGAATCAAATGCATAAATTTTATCCTCGACATCGTCGAAAACATCGACTATGGACCACGGTGCCAATGATACGTCGTTGTTGAAATCAATAGGACAGTAGTGTTTAAAACTTCTGGTAGTAATATAAATGGGTTTGGTTGAGTTGTTTTGGTTGTGAACTTGAAAAAATGGCGGACATTTCACTCGTTTCAAGAAGAACTAGGCGAAAAAATAGCTAAAAACATGGTAAGAACAGCAAGAAGACAACTCGGAGGGCGACATCTGCTATTTGGAGAATATTTGCGGAGCTGGACAAACGTAAACGTACAGTATCGAAGATGAACTGAACATCGATGGATCGATGGAGGTAAGCATGTTTTAGCTATGTTTTTAAACTAGGTCTTATTTTGAATGAATAATAAAACAGTTATTGAATTCGGCTTTCGTATCATATGAAGAATTATGGAGATCTCGGAGGGTGTTATCCGCCTCGGCCTACGGCCTCGACGGATAACACCCTTCTCGATCTCCATAATTCTTCATACGATACTCAGCCTCATTCATTTACTGTTAATTATTCTTGCACTAACCATAGATGTTGCAAGACCTATTCAACAATAAACAAACCTATAAATATGATTTCGATGAAATGTAAATACTTTTACAAAGCTATAAATGGAAGAGATGTCCTCACCTTCGCAAGTTTGTCCCTCAAACCCTGGTGTACATCTGCATTTATAACCTGTTCCATGTTCCACACACGTGCCTCCATTTTTACAAGGATTATAGTAGCAAAATAGTGTATCTGAAAGAAGTAATTGCACCAAAGACGAACACAATGATTGAAAATTATATTAATGGACACTAATGTTAAAACCATACATATATTTTGTTATTAGTATTATTGGCATTTTATCAATTTTACAGCTTAAATTCGTAAAGGATTCAGTCATCGCGTCAACAATCTACTGCTCAATCTTGACAAGCTTTAAGACACAGATATCTCTCAGTAACGAACACCTGGGCTTGCTCCCTTTCGTTTTTCAGTCATTTATTACATTTGAGTCTACAATGAGAACTCCGCACCTCCTAGACGGACTCCAAACTTGTGCAATTACCACACCATGCGCTGGTACATCTTTCACTAAGGCTTAACTTATGTAGGCTTGTAAATGTTTAAATAAGAATCCAAGACGTCTAATCTGAACATTTATTCTACTTGGAGTGTTAGACGTGTTCTGGACACGTTCACTGCTCAATCAATTTTGGAGTGAAAATTCCTTTCGACAATTTTTGTTGGATCAAATGCACGATAAAAATTTGTCCAAATTTTTACGTGAAAAATGCAATTACCGAAAAACGGCAATGTGTGACATATTCACAGTTGGCAGATGCGCACGCTCTCTCCTTCTGGCAGAGGTCTCTCACGACGAGGAGAGACCTTTGCTAGCAGGGAACGCACGCTCCTCTGTGACGACTTGAAGCCGTCGCCTTGTCGTTATTGATCTTATATTTGTTCAAACGTTGTTCACTTCTGGAAAATTAAATTAGCGAACGTGGTGTGAACATAACGTTTATAGCCCCTTGAACTGTCTACCAAGGAAATATATATAAAATACTTATCAAAGAATTATATCATTGTCCGGGAAAATTGTCACCTAAAAATTGATTTGTATTGAATTGTCCAGGATAAATGAAAAAAGGTTGTTGCAGTTTACAATTCTTGTCGCACCTTCGCATAGTGGTCCGCCATATTTGGGAGGACACAAACACTTGAACATGTAGTTCTTGTGTTTTGTCATGATGCCTCCGTTCTTGCAGTGATTACCTTAAACAAAAAAAGCAATGATAGTAAGTTTTCCTTAGTAAAAGAAGCAAGGTTCTCCTGAAAGTAAAAGCCATTTCCAATTCTCTAACCTCCATATATAGACAATAGTGTCAAGAGGTCCTTTTGTTGTATGGGAATTTCCCCGCCCCCTCCCCATAACGTACCCATAACATAAAACTTTATTTATGCCCGAATTTTAGAGTAGCTAAAAATCTAATATCTTCGAGCTGACACAACATGAAAATAATATATATATTGTGTTCATTTATTTCTTTCTTTCACTGGTTTCAGTTCGTTTGTGTTATGTATATATATATATATATATATATACACAATACCACAAGTGAAGAGTAAAACAATATGTTTTTCGTCTCTCACCTATATTTCGGCCGTGTTAAACGGCCTTCATCAGGGTGAATGGCCGTTACAAGCATCACACACCATTATAACATGATAACGAACAAATTTGAAAACTTGCACGCGCTACAAAGAAAGATAAACACGCGCGCGCTCTTACCGGACGCGAGACCTAGTCGACCTATTCTGGCTGTAAAAAAAGTCGCTTATATTCAAGCCCTGAGGCTGAATACAGTTCAACCTATAGGCCCACTGGCCTTCTTTATCCCGGAGAGCTGATTCTTCCCCGGACACTCTGTCAATTAACTGTATACTGACATCCTCAAGACCATGGTGTCCCGGGCCAAAAAAATGTCTATACAAAAGATCATCCTTGTTTCTACCCTCAAAAGAAAGCCCTGAATGCGCTCTAAAACGGGCCTTATGATTGTTAAACCTAAGCCTAAATTTTGTTGTTGTTGACCCAACGTACTGCGCATGACAAACCTTACAGGACAGCAAGTAGACAACATTACTACTATTACAGTCCAGTTCGTAGTTAATTGTATAGCTCTTTCCAGTTCTGTAAGAGGTAAACCTTTCTCCCGGTTCCAGGTACTTACAGACCTGGCATCGTCTGTTACCACACACCACTGTCCCCTTGGAGCTCCGCTCCAGACGCGTTGACGGCCTAAGTTTAGCGTGTACTAAGTAGTCCCCCAGGCTCTTGGGTCTTCGAAATGCCATGAAGGGTACGTCTTTGATGGCTTTCCTGCATTTTTCTGAGCAATGCAAGAGCGGCTGAAGTTCTCGTAGGATACTACCAATGTTAGGAAGACTTGGATGGTATGTCACTACCATTGGCACTCTGTTAGTAGCATTCCTAGGGCGTGGTGCCAATGTTTCCTCTCTTGTTTTCAATCTCGCTCTCCTAATTTGCTTCAAAACAAATGCTTTTTTATATCCCCTGGCTACAAGAAACCTACATAGATCAGCAGCCCTGTGATTAAACCAATCCAGCCTAGAACATATTCTTCGAAGTCTCAAAGCCTGGGCATACGGTATGCTTTCCTTACACATCCGGGGATGACACGAAGTGTGGTACAGATACTGGTGTTTATCCGTCGGCTTTATGTACAAATCAGTCTCTATTCTTCCATTGTTATTTATTACCTGAACATCCAGGTAATTAATCCTCTCTCTAGACCAGTCCCAAGTGAACTTAATCGTGTCATGGGCTTCATTGATATAATTCAAAAACTCCAGCAGCTCAAGCTCGGTCCCCGTCCACACCATGAAAACGTCATCGATGTATCGTAACCAGATGTAGGGTTTTACCTGCGCCTGGGATAACAACCCTCTCTCCAGTCTATCCATAAACAAATTCGCATAAGACGGTGCCATTTTCGTACCAATAGCCGTCCCCAAAGTCTGAAGATAATGGTTTTCATTAAATTCAAAGTTGTTATTCCTAAGCACTAACTCTGCCAGGTCTACAATTGTCTCTGTGGGTATCTCCGGGTTCTCTCGATTGTTGAGAGCCTCCCTGATAGATTGCAGTCCCTCATCATGAGGTATATGGGGATATAATCCCACTACATCCATGGTCACCATTATTGCGCCGCTAGGGAGCGTACTGATGTCACGGAGCTTCTTCAGAAAGTCATTCGTATCCTTCACATAAGATGGTACTACTGAGACGAGCGGTTTCAGGTGGTGATCAACAAATGCCGAGATCTTCTCCGTTGGCGTATTACATCCAGAGATAACTGGTCTACCTGGACAACCTCTCTTATGTAATTTAGGCAGAAGGTAAAACCGTCCCGCCCTCGCCCCGCCATTAACAAGTAAATACTCCAAAGTTCTGTCACTTATGGATCCATCACCATACGCTTTGTTCAACCTCTCGTTAATCTTCTCGATCATAAGCCCGGTGGGGTCCGACTCCAAAGAAACATATACTGCACTATCACCCAATTGTCTCATAGCCTCTGCGACGTACCGTTCCTTATCCATAACAACCACGGCTGATCCCTTATCTGCCTGCTTGATAACGATGTCATCATAACTCCTTAAATCCTCGAGAGCTTTTTGTTCTTCTTTGGTGAGGTTCCGGTGGCACTTCTCCTTTAGGTTGGATTCCCGGAAGATCTTCTCCTCGAGCGCACTCGCGTACGCTTCAAGAAAGAGATCTCTATTCTTGTCCGGACACCAGCAAGATTTTTTTCTAAACGCCGGAATCTCGGAGAAATCCCCATCGCTTTCCTCGTCACTGTAGAAATATTCTTTCAAACGGATCCTTCTTACGTAGTTTAACACATCCTTCCTCAGAGTATATACATCAATTTCGGCCGGGGTAGGGCAGAACGATAAACCCTTAGAGAGAAGTGCATTCTCCGCCTCGCTTAATGTCCTATGTGATAAATTAACAACAACCTGAAGTCCATCACTATAAAGCTGATCACTAACAGAACCTAAACCTACAAGTTCAGAAGCAGTAGCAGCCTCCAGTAACGGTCTTTCGTCTGCTGTAATATATATATATATATATATATATACATTAAATGCATCATAAGTAATAATAATAAAATAATATTAATAATAAAAAGCACATAAAAAAATAAGTATGTCAGGCAAAAGGAGTCTACATGAAGGTAACATCCTGTATTTTGGTCTTATTAAGTCTGCAAACAAACTGGTACGAAAAAAGTCCGGCAGTGCGTTCCACTGCTTAGCTGAAAAGTAAGAAAAGGAGTTAAGACCATAGGTAGTTGTTTCAGGTTTACTTAGTGAAAGAATGTAGTTGCCATGAAGATCATAGGAAGAGGACCGGAGTGAAAACATATTCTTCATATAAGGAGGAAAATGAGTGAAAAACAAACTCTTATATAACAGAATGGGGAAATTTTGAATGCCTTTGTTACACAACGAAGTAGAGCTGACTTTTGAGAGAAGAGTGTTGTGTGGAGAGGAGTAACCTCCAAGTATAAATCTAAGTATTCTTTTATTTATTTAAAGCTTCAAGCTTATCCGCATTCCCCGTGGGGAATATGCCTGATACAGGTATAGTACTTGAAATCTCTTCTTACTTTCTGCGTGAACAGAACAAAAATTTCGGTTACTTTTTACACCGCCTGGATTTTTTTCTTTATCAGACATTTCATGAATGTGAATTCTCAATCGCAATTTCTATATCAGATACTTAAATTGAGTAAGACACTTTTTTATTCGAACCCTTTTTTCTGAACTTTTTACCTGCTTTGTAAATTCAACCCATTCTATTTCAGTGGGTGGTAAAACTGGTTCCTCGACGACTGACATTTAAATAAGTCGAGGAGGAAAAACTTCATATAATAAATAAATAACTTTCAAGTAGAAAACACTCTGAAATCAAACTTCTGAAAGCATTCTTTTTCTTTACATGCTTGATACTAGGCCTTTGGTAAACGGTTCTAATCATTGTTCTTTAAATAAGTCAACAAAATCTTTAATTTATAAGTAGTTGTATTCAGGCAAAGAGATGTTAGCACCTTCTTTGTCTGACGCTAAAGACAAAACATCTTTTGTTATAACTTAGGACTGAAAATAATACATATTGCAAATAATATTTCAAGGAAAAATGTTAGTCTGCTGCATTTCGATCTTCAGGTCATATGAGAAATGAGTCATTTCGTTTGAATGCATATGAAGCGGGCAGTTTGCAACTATTTAAGCTCCGTGGCAAAATAAACGCAGTATAAAACACAACGTGAACATCAAAGGTGAGAAAAGAAAAGAAACTTTAGAGTACAAAGGAGGAGTGTTCATATATGTTGGAAGCACTCTATCACACTACTTCTTGTTTTCGTTATAAGTTATCGTACCTTTAATGACCTACCATCATGGATGTAGACGTGCAGTTCATTTACATCAGGAGTTTGGACGGGCACAGGAACAGGAATATGAACAGGGATACACGAATGTTCATGGGCAGTCGAGTTAGAGCATTGAGAAGTTGTGTTAGCACCTTCCAATTGTGTCTTCTTCTGTCCGCTTGAATGTGTACCTTTAGAATACACCTTTAAATGTCTCGCGTGCAAGATACCGTCAGTAATGACAAATATCAAAGCAAGAAGCCTTAACAGAGAACATGGAGCGATCATTTCGACATTGAATTTTTACACCACTGCATAAAGGATCTAAGCGCAGCTAAAAAATCTTCCACATGAAGCCGAGAGACGATATGCTCTCTTCATATTATGGCTATACCAAGTTCTTGTCTCTTGGTATTTTAATATACTAACAATAATTCAGTCACCTGTATGGAAAACAAATTACACGTAAAGTCGCTTATTATATAATTTATTACATCCACTTTGAAATCACTGGCTATCCGTGCAATCTGATTGGCTCTCAGCAGTGTGATTTATTCCTAAATCGCACCAGTTTTTGCTCTAAATCGCATTTGTTCCAAATTGCGTCATTCATGTTCTAAATCGCATCATTTCTGTTTTAAATCGCACCATTTTTGTTCTATATCGCATAATTTCTGTTTCGAGTACAAAATGAGATGAAAAAGCCTTTCTGTTTCCGCTTTTAAGAAACCGGCTACTCGATCAATAAAATATTAGTACTGACTAAATTCTGCGATTTCAAAATGGATGTAATAAAGTGGTAATTGAACTTCGTGTGGTGCAATTTTGGTCTGAAATCATACTTGTGATTTCAAATCGAACTCGATTTTGAAACCACGCGTATGATTTGAGACCAAATTGCACTCCACACAGTTCGATTACCATTATTAATAAATGGCTAAAAGTCTGGAAGGTGACACGCAAAAGGTTAGGTGGATCAAGGTTGTTTTCTTTCTCTAAGATCATGATCTGGTTACAGATGAAATGGTTTGGTCTAGTTGATGTTTTGTTCATTGAGATTAAATTGTCTAGCTTCATTGAGATTAAATTTTACTTCCCTGCGAGAGTCCTGCGACGGTCGTCTAAGGTATTGCTTGCTTTTTAAAGGATTAACAAACGAACAGTTTACACCAGCTTAACTATAAGGGGTCTAAATAATTGTCGACCTGCACCTTTCTTTGCTGAGCAGTTCCTTTCAAGGAACTATCATGCAACGCCCGATCAGTTTCTCCATGTACATGGAGACTCCGCCTGAAAGAGGTACTTTTTCAGGCTTCTGGGCCCAGTTGTTTGAACGGCGGTTAGCGCTAACCCGGGGTTAAATATTTTAAACCGGAATACTTTATCTTTTTATCAAAGGCACTCTCTCGGATAATTTTCTCTATTCCCCTTAGAGTATCCAATCATCAAATTGTAGGCAAAGAGAATTAATAAAACTGAATTTGCTTTAGCTCTCATATCTGATTTCAAATTTCCCACTAACCCTGGGTTATCTTAACCTAACTTCGAACAACCCGGCCCAGGTGATAAAGGGGCGGGATATCACTGTTAGAAGTAAATTTCGGTCTCTAAAAATGCCCTAAAGGGCTTATAACAGATGCAATTTATGGCTGTGAAAAAGTCGAGAATAAACCTGGTTTTGTGATTTATTTATATTTCAAAACAGTGCATTAACAGCAGTTTAAAGGGATGTAAAGGTCTATCCCGGCGCTACCTATGTGAAAGGGGTACCATTTGTCAATAGAAGGTAAACGAAGGGGAACAACTGTGTGAAAAATGGTGCTACATAGAAAAGCAAGGGCTCGGACCCCGAGGTGGCACCTTCCCTTTTGAAACTTTTTGAACCCCCGGGTCCAACTAAAAAACTGCGATTTAACATTATTAAAGCAATGTTTTTTCTTTCTACAAAGAAATAACGTAGTTCTCAGTTCGAATCAAACACAAAACAAAGCAGGAAATTAAGCTGACAGCAAGGATTACACAAAAATATTTTTTAAAAAGGTCTTTATTTATTATTTGCTCTTTACCTCAGTTTGCCTTATTTTATTATGATCATATTTTATTTAATATATTTTATGTCTCCTCCCCGGTTTACTGAAACACTAACAATAAACCCCCCTTTACTGCCAACGGCCAAGCTTTGTTTGCTAGAGCGCCTAACTTAGGAAACAAAGAAAACCGAGACTGTGGTCTGGGATTAAAAACATGGCCAAGTTAATGGCCGGTTTTATTCAAAACTGCAAAATCATCTAATCGATGTTAAAATATGAAATAATGTTTACGAATTTATAGGTCTAGCAAAGGTGAGGGCCAGAAGAAAAAGGCAACTAAACTACAAGAAATACCTAAAGCAAGTAAAAAAGGTGGAGGATTGGGTGGAGGCGGGTCGATTGCTTGTTCAAAGGATAAGCGGGTTAGCTATCGAAGATTCGGCTTGATGTCATACTTTCAGACCGAGAGGATTAACGAAAGGTTACACCCTCTTATAAAGGGTCTCCGAGAGATAATGAGATCGAGGCTAAGTAAATTTACTGCGAGTGGCCTTATCATAGGAGCTCGTGATTATTACCCAAAAGTAATTTTACTTTTCGTCTTGTGATTCTCATGCGATCGTAAACCATTGTAAGATAATTCAAAGTTCATATTCGAGAGCCTCTAAGCCTTTGAATCCGCAATCGACCCCACCGCCCAAAAATCCATGCATTGAAGAAATTGGAAGGGGAGACATAAAATTTTTTTTATTTGTTTCCAAATAAACTCATTTATTGTTTCGTGGTTTTACTGTAGTTCACCTTATGTCTTTCTTTTATAAAATTCTTTACCCTTGACAAAAAAACTCAAACTTTCAATACAGATATAAATACTGTGCTTAAATGTCCCAGATGGTATTATTTATTCAACTTTGACTGAAACACTCGTCATAAATGGCAGCTATACTGGCCATGCAGAGCTTTCTGCTTCGACAGAGTTAGGTGACAAGTGACAGTGGCTTCAAAGATAGGGTTAGGGTGGTTGCTCAATGTCACCAGTATCTTGAAACTGGCCCTGGTTATAGCATTCCTAGCAACATGAGACAATTTGGCGACCGAAAAAGCAAAATGAAAATGATATTAGACTATTAATTACTGGACAATTAATAGAACAAGAGCTACATGCTTTCCATGCTTCCAAATTTGCATAGAAATATAAAATGACAATAACTTTTATGATGTCGACTAGTTAAGCCTCGGCTTAGAATCTCTCGAATCCAAGAACATTGAGGGATCCCTTTTAAACTGGATGGTATAAATTAAAAAATATCTTACAATCCGTATCCTTTATCTAAAGAGAAATGTAATGAAAACATATCAACATCAAATCACTGAGGTCGGTGAAAACATCTGAAGACCATTATTACAGCGTTTTTTTTCTCTTCTGTTGATGTTGCAAATCTGAAATTAAACCAAAACTTCAAACTAACGACTGAAGAAAAAAATAGTACAATTCTTAACTTTTCGTATATTACAAGTACATGTAGTCCAGGTTGCGATTATTGTTATT